CCCGGACCATTTCGCCTCCAGGATGAAAGGCAGAAAATAAAGCCATATTCTCTGCCTTTCATCCCGGAACGAAACGGTCAGGGATAAGGTCCGGGATGGAAGGCAGAATGTAGACACTTTGAATTCGATCCCGGATTCAATCCCGTACTCTATCCCGGACCAAAATCATCCGGGATTGAATACGGGATTGAATCAGAGATTAATTTTTTCCCCAAATTTCTCAGTCCTGCAAGCACAACATGAAAATGACCCTAGATCTACGTGGCTGCTTCAGATAGCGCCGATAATGATATCAGAACAACAAATGTTTCTAAAAATTTTGTTATAATCTACCCGACCACTAACCTTGTGATCGATGACTTCGTGGGGTGAAACAATGGAAGAGAAAGTCTTAGAAGCGTAAGGTCCGGGATGGATGAATCGTCCAACATCCGAGATAACGTTCAATCCGGGATGAGGTTTAGGGTTTTAGGACAAAGGAAACGTTCGAGATGGGGTGGAAATTTTTGTTGGGCCAGGAAACGTCGAGATGGGGTTTAGGGTTTTACTTGGAGGGAGTTCCCTTCATTTTTAAACATGAGGGTACTATGGTAAATTGGTCTTGGGGAGAGGTTCAAAATTAAATAGAAGTGGGGTCAAAAATTAGGTTTTTTTAAAAGGGGTTCATTTATCCAATTTGAACTATTGGTGGGGTCAAAAATCCCAATTTCCCAATAAACCTTTGTGAAAGCCAATTAAAATAAATTTGAAAGTACAGGGATATATGATATTTAGTTTTTCTTCTGATTATTATTTCCTTAGATTATGTTTAGTGTGATGCACCGACTTTATCCTTTTAGGTTACTTTTATTTTTCAGCAGTAGGTTGTAGACTATGTTCGCATCCCAACCAGAACAAAATACTAATTAATTAACTACTTTGATTTAATTTAGCATAAACTATATAATGTTGGCCGTACTATAAATCTTTTCATTTTATAGCATAAACTTAACCTTCGTGACAATCCTTATCTTGAAATCTAATCATATTTTATATCATGCTTAGACCAATAAACAACGGGTATTCCATTGAAATAATTCAATCATTATTTGTTTTAAATTATATCAATTTTCTTTTCTTGAGTTCTTTTAATCTTTTCATTTTATTGAATTGATCGTACAAAGGAGTGTTCGTCTTGTCGAGGATAATTGATGATTTTGTAGAAGGTAAAATGGCGGCAACGTGAGTGGAGAAATCGCAACGCATATAGTATTTCTTTAAAAGGATTGTCGCATAATGGACCTTTTGTCGAAATTGAGAAAACATTTTGAAAAGAACTTAGTAGAATATAGATGGACAATTGTGTGTGACCGACTTTTATTGAATTGGCGAAGGAGGGATTTTTTATGGATGAACTGATCTACCATCACTAATTCATTCTAGACTTGGAAGTCTAAAAAATTATATAGAAAGGTGAAAGATAGGTAGAGAAAACTTTTCAAGTTCTATAATTAATACTTAGATGGTGACCTTTGAAGATAGGGGAGGAATAAAAAATACTTCAAATTCCATAATTAAATACTCAATTAAAATAGATGATAAAACTTTTCATATTCAACCTTTTAACTGCAAAATTAAGTATTAAAATGAGAATAGCTTAGTGGTAATTGACATATATCTCCAACCAAGAGATTGTGAGATCGATACTAATATGATTCTCCGTCCCATAACGATTGGAGCTAAAAAAAATGATAAAATAAACTTCAAAGTATTGGGATATATATGAGATTTAGTTTTTCTTCTTTGTTATTATTTGTTTAGATTATGTTTAGTGTGATACACCAACTTTATCCTTTTAGGTTATTTTTATTTTTTAGCGGTAGTCTTTTCATTTTATATAGGATAAACTTAACATTCGTTGACATTCCTTATCTTGAAATCTAATCATTTTTTATATTCATGCTTAGACCAATAAACAAGGGGTATTACATTGAAATAATTCAATCATTAGTTAGTTTTAAATTATCAATTTTCTTTTGTTGAGTTATTTAAGTTATTAATATTGAATTCAATCCCTTTCGCCTCTTATTATATCTTGATTGTTTAGAGGAAAAAAATCCATCAGCCCTTCCACGTTTTATTCTCTAATTAAGTAGGAGCCTCCTTCCAAGAACTTTCACAAAATTGTTTAATTATTGAGGTCTTTTCTTAGGCACCATTAACTTATAATATATAATATTATATTCACAATTCAAAATATTATCCAATTCAAGAATTTAAAAACAACTAAACATTAATTATGTCGAAGTGTTCAATTTCTTCACATCACATGGGAAACTATATTATATAATTAACTTCCAATTTTCATCCAAACGTATGCCAAATTCAAAACCTTCTTTAATCACTTCTCTAAACTTCCCTCATTTAAAAATTTTAAGTATCGTTTTCTAAATATTTTCTAAATGTGTATTTTTAATATAAAAGTAATTGCATATGCAACAATTACTTGTTCATTAAATGTTAAGTGGAATAATCTTAGTAGTCATTAATTGCAATTCTTTTGAATCAGAAATGTCTGGTTAGAATTCATATAAATGAATTAAATTTACCCCATCCATCCGCTTAAGTTTTTGGATTGAGGGGTGATTTGTTCATTCTTAAGATGGTATCAGAATGGGAGATCTAACATATTAGTACTTATTTTTTAAATACGTTTTAGGATTCATAAGGAAAACCGTGGCCAAAACTTGTGGAAAAAATAGAAACTCGTATGGCAAAACATACCGTATAGAAAAAAAGAATCTAAATATGAAAATAGTTGAAATAATATTAACGGGAAGGTCTAGTACTCAAGACTTTAGAGATGATTGAGTTTGAACTTTTGTGAATATAAATGATGTTGCAGTTGAGATGCCGAAAGATTGGTTAACAAGAATTTAATTTTTAGACTAAATATATGTTTTAGTATCTAACGTTCGAGAGTTTTTTAATTTAATCTCTATTGTTTACACATTTGCAACTTTATTTTTATATTTTAATTTTTTAATTTAGTCCTTAGTTCTTAGTCAATAATCAATAGAGAATAAGACTAAAACATATGATTAAAATTTTATTCTCAGTGTTGATACTGAAATTTGACAAATTGAGGACCACGTACGAAATAAGACGAGTCGAACTATTATAAGTGAAGTATGTGAGGAAAGACACCTACATAGAGAGAACAAATATTTCGATGCTGGTCAATAAGAATCCGACCTATAACTCTGAAGAAGAAGAATCAAATTGCGTACCTGCATAAGACATTGTTGATCTTCCATTTATATGTATTTATATGTGAAATGGAGTCTCATGGTTTTGTAAGACCATTTGTAGAGTTTGTTACACGATCCTAGATAGTTGGTCGCGATACCTAGATGTCTAACCTTTTCAAGGCTCTCTAGTTTGACAGACCTATTTGCTACCACTCTAATCGATCGAGCTTAATAGGTCAATCACTACAAATTTTCGAGGTATATTATCTTTTGATCATTCAGGATGATCTATTTTTTTTTTCCATGCGGTAGGTGGCTTTTTTGGGCCCAACATTTAAACTGGATTTTATCAAAAAGTCTAAAGTTTATGGCAGATTTTTTTGACATTATTCCAATATACCCGTTATTGTAGAAAGATTCAGAACATTAAAATTCAAAGTGGTTTAACTTCGATTCAATTTATTTTTTCACGTGGTAGGTCCCTTTTTTTATTAAATAAAAAAATAATTTTTCACAATTACAGAAATTTAAATAGTTTCTGAATTTTCTTTTAAAGAAAGACCTAATGAATTTACATATGTATTTAATATAGAAATAGAAGAGAAAATATATATCAATCTAAAGAAGAAATTTAAACAAAAATTATAAAATTAATCAGTATTATTTGTTTGTTAATTTTCGACAAAATTCAAATCTATAAATAAAAATACAGTTCACGAATGAAATTTATAGGATATAAAAGTCTAAAAAAATAATAAATAACGTTTTATAAAAAAAATTAAATGAAAAAAGATATTTTTGAAAAAATGCATGAGGTACTTATAATGGTCATGTTGGCCGCCACCCCACCACAATTATTTCTTGAACGAGTATTTATAAAACGTTTATTATTGAATTATATTTCATTGGCAGCCCCTTTTTTTTTTTTTTTTTTTGACGGAGTTGTGGCAGCCTTTTATTTGGCGTTATTACAATATAACCGTTATTGCAGAAACATTCAAAGACTTTGTTTCTAAAATAATTAATTGACTTTAATGAATAATTTATTATAAAAGTTAAGATTTTTATTAGAAATTAATATAAAGTACATTATTTTTATTTGTTATAATTTTTAACCCTTTTACTCTATTTTCTTATATAAATTATTAGTTATTGTTAGCCGTTGGCACATCTACTTCTTTTAATGAAGTTTAAATACTCATCTTTACATTTGTAATATATAGATTTTTTAAATATATATATATATATATAATTTAAGGATTTTTTTTGGCTGTATATTTCAAACTTTCTTCAAATTTAATTTTTAAGTAAAAGTTAATCATAATAAAATTCATATTCTTGTAACTAAAACCTACTTATAACAATTTAATTTGTAGATATTGTATTATCTTTTTGTTTTGACACATTTGTAGATATCCATATCCTATTTAACAGTTAAAAAATATATTAAAAAAAAGTAAAACATAAACTATACCATATTATTTAATATTTGATGTGATTCATATTTATACCATTATGAAAAAAGAAAATACATGATACTGTTAAAAAATTATAAATTTAAAACATGTACTAATTTCGCTAAACAATTAACTTAGTTTTGAACGATTATAATAAAACTTATTTTATTGTTAAAATTCAAAGACGTGCTAAGGATAAGGATTGCCTCAATTGTCAACATCCACGTGGTGTTGGACAAAAAGGAGCTGGCGATAATTTTTTAATCTTATATCGAAATGATTTTATTTATTCTTTGAAGAACACATTGACCAAATTAGCTATAAGTATCACCACTGAAGCAACGACAGATACAGAACAAAAACCAGAAGTTGAAGAAATACAGAGCGATCTGAAGTTGAAAATGGCAGACGAAAGTAAGTAAAATTTGGTGCTTGGTTATTTATTTTTTTGGTTGGGTTCTTCTACACATATATTTATTTTATTTGGATTAATTTATGGTTTTTGTACGATTGAAATTAGGAAGAATATCATGGCCAGAACTGGTGTTTGTGGATGCAAGTGTTGTGAGCAACATCATAAAGAAAGATCATCCTGATTTCGAGATTGTTGTGCTGTTAGCAGGATCTCCAACCACTAAAGATTTGAGGCTCGACCGGGTTCGACTTTTTGTTAATATAAACAATGTTGTGGTTGAAACCCCCATCAATGGTTGAAATGTGTTGAGAACACCTTTGTTTGAGACAATATTTAAATAAAAACTAGAATCTATTCTAGTCTTCTACTACTATACTTAACATATTTGTGTTCGTGAATTAGAACACCTTTTTTTGAATGTTGTGGTTTGATTTTCAAAATTGATGCGATGCTTTGGAGACAAGAGAATAAAATTAACATGAATAATTAGTTGGTGATTCGAATCTGGTTGATGTTGATGATATATGCAGGTGTTGAATAGTTTAACTAGTTTTAAGGAAAAGCTTACACATAAATTTGTTTGGTGTGCCAATTAAAAATTAAATTTACTAGTGCGACGTAGTACCCGGGTGGGCTAGCCACACAGGTGTGGCTTTAAGTTCGCACCAGTTGTTAATAATGAAATAAGGAACGAATGTCAACTTGGAAAACCAAATAGCACTGAACACCAGTGAAGTGCTAGCCACACTGGTTCCGATGCCTAAGTTAGAATCAGAAGTTTGTTGAGTATTGAGAATATGGTTTTCAACATACGTTTAGGATTCAACTTACTGTTATATTTATAGAGATGAAATCTTTATGCCCTTAGGAAACATACCATGTTGGGCTATGAGCATCTTGTGGTCGAATATTGAACCAATGGACCGGTGACCTACAGTAGGTTTAGGCTCACTTTCATAGGGTCATCGGAGGGCTTCGCTGGAGTTCTCGACAGGTGGTCGAGAACTTGTCGGCTGGATCTAGTCAGATAGGACCTGATTGGCTAGAACCTTGTTATGCCCTAGATCTGGTCATGTTCTAGCCCTGTCATGTCGTAACCTAATCATGTTCTTGATTTGGTTATGCTTTAGGTCATGGACTTATGATGTAGTTTTCCTGTCAGATCTAACTTTATCTTCCCATAACACGCGGATTACAATAGAGGAGTGAATAACAAGGAAACAACATTTTAACCAACATTTTTTTTATTTGTAATCAATTATATAAAATTACAAAAAGTAAATATATAGTTATCCTACGGATTATATAGTTATCCTAGGGTAAAATGGTATATTGAACCAATCATCTCGATTAAATAATATTAAAAGTACAAAAATAAGAAAGAAATAATTAAAATTTATATCAAAATTGTTTACTGAATAGATAACTTCAATTGAATAGCTAAGTATCTTTTATGGTTGGAATCCTCTATTAAATGATAATTTTAATCAAAAAACATTCGTAACTGATTTTCAAAAGAAAAAAAAAATCCTAACTTACAAAATCGTATATTCAACCAATGGTTTTTAAGAAATTTATATCAAAACTATCATATTTTAGACACCACCTGGACATCGGTACCCTAAGTATCTCTACAATTGTATAATATTGTTCGCTTTAGGTATAGTGCTCACGACTTTGCTTTTGAATTTATCCAAAAGGTGTCATACCAATGGTGATAATTGTCCTTATCTTTATATCAGGAATCATGCTCTTCCTAGTCAATGTAGGACTTTGTTTGTTTTCCCCTAACAAACCCAACACATATCTTAAGGTACACAACAAAATGAGGCTTATATTAAGAACAATCTAATTAAGGACAATAGAGGCGATATCATAATTACATAATGAAGTAGATCTTTCAGACCAAACTGAAACTGATATAACAATTTCTTCCCAAAGGTGAGCTACATTATTGTTGAACAAAAATGTATTCCTTATGTACAAGTGTATAGTCTTGTTGTAGCAAGTAATAATAAGTTCGAATCCATAGGAAATGTTGACTACTCACTTTAACAATACCTCAAGAAAGCTAAAATATAGATGCAAACAATTTTTGGCCAACGCAAATGAACATAATTTCATATAAAAAAAAAAGAACTATTATGCACACTGACTATTGTAAATCCACACCAAGATCGGGTTCAAATAGCTTCTAACAAAATGGTAATCAGTGAGTAAGGTTAATTAACTTCTTTTTAACAGGGTAAGGGGATGGTTGAATGTGACTTTTCCTTGGTTGCTTAAACAATGTTGTAGCATTAACAATGCAAGTACATGCCAAACAAACATGGAGCCTTTCCAGGTTTCCCCGATTTTTCTGCTGTTAAGGTTTATAGACAAACTCTCACAGCATTTAAAAGTTGTTTATAGTCATGCTAGGTGAGCCCTATTCCGTGTGTCGCACGAATTGTAAGTTTCTATGTTTTTTATTTCAATGAGATTTAGAAAGTGGGATGTTTAGATGATAATATGATGATAAATATTTGTGATAGGATGAGTTGGCTACAATACACAAGGGCGAAGATGTTTTAACTGAAGCATTAGGCACCCCCAAACATAGAGGCCATGCGAGGGGATTAGGTGAGTTTATTTCACCATTCCTATATTTTAATGTTGCCAAAAGGAAGTAAAATTTGGGATTGCAACCTCAAGACCAATCCGAATTGAAGACTCAGAGCTTACAATAAAAAAAATCCACAACTAAAGTCAGTAATGTCTCAAAGAAAAGGGAGAAAGGGAAGGAAGTTGTCAATGCACCTACTAAAGTTTTTATCCCGGATGAACAACCAACAATGGTAACTAATTTGTTTTAGTTTTGACACTTACTGTTTTTGGACACGACACTTAGCTTTTTTGTGCATAACATTTAGCATTTTGCTTTTAAATTTTCTAAGGGAAAACCGTGTCATCTGGATATTGGATCAATGGAGAACATTGTTGCAGTTGGCACAATATTTGATGATGACGTTCAAAGTCCAACAATTCATAGTGCCATTGGTAGCTTCGTGGCATGGCCTCGTCGATTAGTAATTTTAAATGAGGAGAAAAAGGTATGTCTTGTTCTAACTTGAGTGAAGTTTTAACTTTTCGTTTGTTAAATGTTGTTTGTAATTTTGTTTGTCAATGGTTCCTTCTCCTCGAACATCCAAGCCAAGAACACAATCATCTGAACATATTGATGTTCACATGACTATTAAACTCCTAAATCAATATGTCGTGCGTTCAATGAACAATAAGGATGTAATTGAATTCAATATCGATGATTACATATTTCGAAGGGAGAAGATCATTAGTTTAACATGTGATGACATCATGCAATACTACGAGATGATTGAAATAGGCTATATGTGTGTGCTCACGTACATCGCGTAAGTATATTAAATCTATTTCATATCTTAACTTCACTAGCTATGAAGTTTAATGTTTTACAATTATATGYTTAGGTATCTTTGGAATGAATGTGAGGAKGAGACACATAATAAGTTCTTKGTGGTTGATCCGGACARCATTGTACCACAAATGATGTCTCAAGAAACTTGTTCTARATCTAGCCAACAGGTTAGACRTGAGTAACTTGGAATAAATWGTACTCATCCCWCGTAAYRGCGGGTAAGCTAGCAATTTAACTTGATTTTACTTATTTATAGTTTCTTTTATCCATCCATGAATGTAATATTATTATGTTGGTTATTAATAGTTTTCACTGGAAGTTGTTTGTTATACATCTTCAAGAGAATTGTGTTTATGTATTGGACTCTCTAAGAAGTAAGATTGAAGAAAATTATAAGGGAA